ACACCAATCTTAAATGGATTATTTCTAAAAGTTTTATAGCTTCCTTATGTCATTGGGTAGAAACTTTAGAGTCACAAAAGAAATATTTTCAATGCACTGTCAAGTGTTTGTATGTATTATCAACATTATCTATATAAGAGTAAAATAACTATAAACATAATTCTTTTTTTAGGAATAATATTTGGAAATTGAGTATGGATTGGAATAAAAAACAGTCTAAGAGAAACCTTCAAAAACTTCAGCAATTGGAGATCGACCTGACATCATGTTTACGGTTAAAATTAGTGAAAAAGCCCTAGAGTTACTTTACATTGAAAGTGGGAGATGTGAAACTACTGAAAAAAGGTTTCATCAGGTTATACTAAATTGATTTGCTTATATAAAAGTGGTTACAACCCAAAAATGATTGAAAGCCAATGAAGACATTTGTTCTTTTCTTACAATTTTGGGGATTAATATAACTGGTAAGCTAAGTATTGTTGTTTTTTTTAATTGATACTATAACCTTTTTTTTTTGTTTAGAAAAGCACATGAAAATATACGGACTTCAAAGAAAGAATAATATTTATTTTTACTTTCCAATCATTGAAGCGGACATACCTGTGAAACAAACTGCTTAGGAAAATGTACATGAATTAGCATATGCATTATTATTAGTACAGGTATTATTCTTCAAACTATTTTGTGTATTTATTATTATGTGATTTACTATTAAAATTAATCTAATATTATTTCAGAATATAGTTACTGCTGTAACCCATAATTTGAAGACAGTTAAAAAGACCAAATATAAAAAATTCAAATGAATGATTTAAGCATTGTTATTCATCTTTAAAGACCTCATAACTGCTTAAAATACAAGGAAAAACAAGTATCAGCATGATTGTTTCAATGTATTTTCTTATTCAAAATGTTTATCTACGAAATTACTTTTTGTATATAAATTTCAGTTTATTCCCCAACAGCATCTAAAGGCTGTCTGAGAATAAACTGGGTTCAAATAAACATAGCGGGCTTTCATAGTAATTAGCTAAAGTGAAAGAATTGTATGAATAGCATATAAAAAGGAAAAATATACACAATCGCATACATTATTATACAAAATTATACTCAAAACACTGACTAATTCACAGAGTTTATTATTTACTATATATAACTTTATTTAATTAATAATAATATAATTTCAAAAATCTTCATTTACAATAGAATATTACCAATTTCGTAAGTTTTTGAATCTAACAAATCCCTAGCATGAAAAAAATTTTACCATAATTTTTAGACAATTCTACTTATAAATATTATTACTACTATGAAAATCAGAATAAATATACTATATCCTGACTACGAACTTCATATAAACCTTATAAAATATCTTTAAGTTGACACTTTTCAACCAAATTAAAATAAAGCATTTATATAATTCATAACTCTAGTAAACATAATTTTGATAGAATTAATTCATAACCCTGATAAACATAATTTTGGTAGAATTTAATTCGTAACTCTAGTAAAAATAATTTTAATAAAATTAATTCATAACTCTAGTAAACATAATTTTGGTAGAATTAGTTCGTATTTTTGGTAGAATTGTATTTTTCAAAATTACATTTCTACATTACAACCATTGTTCATTAGATATATAAATAATAGTAAATCCAAATATCCATTAGATTTACTATTATTTAGAATAATGGTTCACGAAACTTTTTATTAAGTTCAGTTTTAAAATATATACTTATAAAAGTTTTACTATATAATTATAATTAATTTTTAAACTATTGACTAAAATTTATTTGTATTCTAATTAAAATATTTATTATTCTAAATAAAGTTTTCTGTTTTTCATTAACATAATTATATCTTTCCTAAAATCAATTTTTAGTATAAATAAATATATATAATTTTTATAATATATATAATAT